TCCCCTCCCCCCACCCCACTACCAGTCTCTATAAATGATCCAAACTCATTCTCAAGGTCTCTCCTTTTGGATGTGACTGGAAAAGAGAGACCCCAAGAAAAAGCAGTCAGTTAAAGGTCCAGCAGTAAAGTTGATGCTCCTCCTGCAGACTGTCAGGGAGTTTAGAGATATAACCATCCAGTACCAACCCTATATTTTGATCACAAACTTTACTACCTGGCAATAATTATGTTTATTGTCTATTTTAATGCATCGCTGTCAGATGCCTGTTTTTGGTGTCAGTCCATTATTTGCGACCATTCTACCAGTGGGGTTTGCAGGAGGTCATGGGACTGCAGGAGGACTCACACCCACATACAAGACAGTAAGCCATGTTTATGCTAATAGCTGCTCTGTGTATCACTAAGCACCTACAATATTTGAAATGACACTTACTTGGCTTTCTTCAAGTTTCAAAATAGGCGCACGTTGCTGAAAATTTCCCTAACATTGTTTATCACCAGAAACAAATAACCTAACTCTATAGGTTGTATGCTTCTGGTACATGACTTTATCTAGAGTGTCATGACTTGGTGCGATCTTGAATTGTTGCCTGATTGTGGAAGTAGTCATTAAACACTTACAAAATAAACAGCTTGTCTGCAGCCATTTTGTTTCATACTCTGTCATTCCATTGAGAGCCATGAAATTTCCATACTAAGGATCATTGACTCTGGATCAACCTCACATCACTGCATGGTTCCTTTCCACCTACTGCTACTTTCCTTTGTTTTTATTATTATATTTCTTTCTTAGTTTTTAACAAGTCACTGAAGTCTTGTCTAAATTTTGTGTTGGACTGATTGGTGGCTTTAGACTTGGATTGAAAAAAATTAATTTTATGATTATCATTTTCTTTTTATTTTTTAAGCTGGGGTTCCCCAATGGTGGAGATTTTGGTTTAGCCAGTGCTACCTTAGGACTTGTTTTCTCTGTTATCTGTGGTGTTATGTGGGTTAACATTGCTACTCACAGAGGATGGGTCAAGCAGGAAAGAATTGATGCTTCTAAGGAAGTCAAAATATCTATCAGGTTTGTGGATGATATTTTAAATATTTACATAATGTTGTCATTAAAAAACGAAAAGCATTAAATGACCAGATGGACTGACGGATGGTTTGATATGCTGCCTGGCTAACTGAATGTCTGTCTGTCATACTGACTGATGGCTGAATAACTGAATGACCCTACTGAACAACTGAGAGACACCCTTGATGAGTGATGATTTACCATGTCTGACTGACCAATTGGCAGACAGACAGTTTACTGATACACCATACCAGATAGATATCTGTTTGACTGGTCAACTGAGCAGGTGATATACCAACTGACCTGATGTTATCTTTGTTTTATGGACCTTTAACCCTTAAACTCCTAAGATATGATTGTCAATTCTTCCCTTTAGCTGCTATTTATTTTTTTGTAAATTAGATAGAAGAATTGGGTGTTAGATCAAGATATAAACTTCTAACAGATAAGTTTGACTATTGCCATAACTTGTTTGTCAGATACTGATTGGATATTATGGAGAGAAGTTCAATGTTAATCACTTCTGGAGGTTAAAGGGTTAACACAAAAAAAGTGACTGACCTCAGTGAATTGCCTGATCAGTTGACTGACAGACAGAGAATGAACAGATGAATTAATTGCAACAGAGACATCTCCTTTTTTTTTCAAATTTTCATAGGGGGGTGTATGCTGTAGAGAGCCGTCCCTCAGCTGGAGTGCAAACTGTGCGAGCAAGCTCCATAGATGTGTTGGCATTCCATCTTGCAGTGCTTGGAATAGCCATGTTGATTGGGTATGGCCTGAAGCAGGTGTTGATTGTTATTGAAAGTACATCACAGAAGCTCAAGGATCTTAACTTTCTCTCTGGTATTCCTCTGTTCCCATTGTGTATGGCTGGGGGAATAATTATCCAGGTTAGGATGGTTAATCTTTGTTCCTAAATGCAATATCTTTGTCCAACAGTCTGTAATAGGTCTCTTCTCTAGTTACACTTTCAGTACTGCCAAACTGTGAGAGAATTAAGTAAGAAGTAAACTAAACAACTTCTTATAAATCACAATTTATGATTTGGTGTCCAAAAACCAATCAAGGGCATCAAACCATGAAACCTGAACTTGATTATTAATGTGGTTAGGACAAATGTCTTAAGCATAAGAGTTTTGTGGATGGCCCATATATGATAAAGATGAATGGTTTAGTTCCTGAGTAATGATGAATGTCTTTCTCTTTGAAGCTTGTTGTGGAGAAAATCCAGAGGATAAATGAATTGATTGATGCATCTCTCATGGAACGCATAGCCTCATCTTCACTGGATTTCCTTGTTACCTCAGCTATCGCTACAGTTGATGTCTCAGCTGTTGCTGTCGACATTGCCCCCTTATTGATCCTGTGCACTTGTGGCTTCATCTGGAACTTTGTTATGCTGGGTTGTGTTTCAAGGTTTCTGTTACCCAACCACTGGTATGTGAAAAATACTAATTAGCTCAAGTTTGATATTTCAGAATTTACAGCCAAAAATAATAGTCAATATAGCAAGGATCTTAGGAAAAATATGCAAAAGAATATCTTTAATCTCCCAGATCTGTACTGAGTAGATTGTTGTTTAATGCTGAGGTTTATCATATCAATACCATCGATCTTATACCCCATTCACACAAACAAAACATGTTTTGTTAGACTAGGGTTAACTGAATGAAAACCAGAAAGAGAGAGCTGAAAAACTGAACTTTCCATAAATTTTAATTGGTCTCTAATTTGTATGTTCAATTTGCTAAATCTGATGTAGACAAACATTGGTTTATACAGTTTCTACAAAGAAAACAATTTAAACCATGTTTAAGAAAACAGCTCTAAAATGTGTTTAACCTTTGGTGTGAGGGGAGTATGGAACTGTCAATTATTTGCTTAGTTCCTCTGCCTTTAATTTAAAGAGATTATGTTAAGATAACTGTCTACACAAAATCATGTATTCTCTCCTTCTTCTTTTCTGTTTTATAATTGGAATTTATGCACTGTGCCAGAAGAAATTTAATTGGATCATTGTACAATTTAACTCTTTAAATGAGCATTATCTAGCTTTAGCTTTGAACTTGAGGCGACCAGGCATTATGTTTAAAGGTGTAGCCAACCCCACAGAGACTCCCATACAGTTGCAGAATGCAAATTCCACCATATAATACAACAGTATTTACCATATGTGTGCTACATGTGATTATATTACTTCCTCCAGCGGGAAAATATAGACAGAAATTATCTGTTGCAAAAAGTGAGGATTAATTTCTTTAAGGAAAGTGGTCTTAAAAGATCTAACTAAAGAATTGGACTCTGGTATTTGACAAAAAATTGATACTGGTAAGTTGTTGCTCACAAAGGCTTTACTTTCATTTTTTTGTTTTTGTTTTGTTTCCAGGTTTGAAAGAGCAATTGCAGACTTTGGAATGAATACTGGTGTGATTGCAACAGGGCTAATTCTATTACGAATGGTGGATCCAGAGTGTCGCACTCCAGTTCCTGCTGATTTTGCCTTCAAACAGCTTCTTCACTCTCCATTCATGGGCGGTGGCATCTGGACTTGCTTGGCACTTCCCTTACTGAGTGTTCTGAAGTAAGAAAAATAGTGCTTGCAAAGACTTGACACTTCAGGTTCAAATTCCCCACCCCTGAAGCACAGGCAATGGTCAAATGTCTGTGGGTTGCTGAATGTTAAAGCTTTGATTTGATCAGCAGGTTTTTGACCACTAAGAGCATGTTCAAGTTATTTTTAATGGGTTTTAACATAATCTTTATATAACACCTCATCACCAGTTAATTTACAAGGAAACGTAAAGCCAGTAGGAGGGCAAATTACCAAATAAACAAGATCTTGGGAGTTTGGATGTCAGATGAAGTCAACTTTGTCTTTTTTTCTTTCCACACAGTATCTGGGTGGTTACAGTCATTGCAGCAGCTGTGTTCAGCTTATGGCTTTTAAGCTTCTTGTGAGTGTTAGATTTGTGTGTATTGGACATGTACTAAAACTTTTGATGATTTTGCTTAAAAGAAGAAATTTTGACTTAAATCTTGTTTCAAATGAAAAAATTAAAAAAATAGCTTTCCAAGACTTAAAATAGCTGTATTTGAGATTTGCGGAAACTCTTTAAATCTTTCAGTTTCTACTTTCGCAAGCACTACACTGAAACATGTGGCTGTGGTCTGTGTGCTGAGGAGAAGCCCACGTCTTTTTCAAATCAAGTTGGTTATGGTGGTCTACAGGAAGGGAGTAGTCAGGAAATGAATGGCGTATGTGTTGAAGATGAAAATGGCGATAAATAATCAATCAAAAATGTGAAAAAAGAAGCAAATATTGAGCAGATGCCAGCCCAACTAAACCAGTTTGATTTCTCTTATTTTCTGTAAAACAAAGTTGTTTTAGATGTGAACACCACAAACAAACGTTTCCCTGTAATGTAAGTGCATGTCTTCTTTTGATGTTGTTGTTTAAAAAGAAAATAACAGATGGGGCTGTGAATATTAACATGACATAAAATTGAGTGGCATTGGTATGTTATTTATCTGGAGATTTTATAATGTAAAGGTTGAATGCTTTTTAGCTAATTAACCCTTTCACACTTTCAAGAGTGGTTTTAAGCAATTATTGGATGAGGTTTAACATAATATCATAAATTATTAATACCAAGATCTGAGTTATCTGTCGAATCTGAAGGTTAAAGTTTGATAATTCTTGATATCATACCAACAACAGATTCAACCTTAATTTATTATACATTTTTTAAACAACCTGCAAAAGAAATCACCTCTCTTTGAGTTTCCACTACAAAACACAACATACAGGAGGGGCATGGAAACCAGGTAGACTTTGAACCCAAAATGATAACCCAATATCAGTTGCAGATATTAATTGGGTTATCATGTCAACTTCACATGCTATTGTGTTTTGACTATGTGTTCTCTACCAGTTAGAGTTTTTAAAAGTAAGTCTAATGTATAATGATACTTATAGTCATTTAATTTTATGTTACATGGATTTATAATGCTTTTAAATACAAGTAGGGAAAAAATTAAAACATTTTTAACTTAAAATGACAGATAATTTGCAAATATTTTTAATTTGCATGCTCAATAATTTTTATAAATAGAAAAATAAGTCAACTGTTCTATATTTTTGGGTAAGTTTGAATAAAGTTTTTCATTTATTGGGCATTTGATATGAAAACATTTTGTAATCTAAGGCATACTTTTTCAAAACATTTCTCATTAAACCTGGAGGTATATTTGAGACTTTCTTGCTTTTGACATATCCTTTCCCACCTGCTCGGTAATAATTTTGTTGTCTGGGGAAAGAAACTTGTTCATTAACATTAAGCTGTTTTAATACGTGAGTAGAATCTGATTCCAGATTCTCCATGGATCCTATGAAGTCATAAGAAACAACACATGGCTGACATAACTCATAAAATGGCATCCAATGTTCATTCATGTCCTCCACATGACTGTCCACAACATATTGTAGAAATTCTGCCACTTTAACATCATTTCCTTTTGAATTTACTGGAGCATTTTTTCGCACATGTCTTATTATCTGTGTTCCATACCTTTTGTGGAAAGCAGTATTGTTTAAGACAAACTTGTCTTTGAATGCTGATAGAAGTCTCGCAAAAGGTTCTCGCACAAACATAAACTTGTAGTACTCCTGAAGTTTGTGTTTAACAACCAGTGGGGGGAAATCTGCCAGCGTTGTGAACGAATGGTGATTTACTCTCTTAATAGCATTGGAGTCAATTGCTTGACCATCAAGTACCATCATTACTCTCTTCCAGTTTGAGCATGCAACTTTTGGTACAGAACAATACAAAAATTTGTGCTCATCATTTACTAAAATATGTTTTCCCAGGATCTGTCTTTCTTCCTTGGACAGAGAATCCCATGACTTTTGCATGTTTCCACACACTTCTTTTACTGATTTCTTTCTTTGCCCACTTGTGACCTGTGGTAAAAATGCATTTGTCAGATGTAAAACACAAGTGGGGATTCACATGTTCATGTAACAGTTTCTCCTGAACAACTTATGAGGAAATTTATAGGAGTTAGAAGGGGGAACTGTTACCAAGGTCTTGAAGGTGAAAACATTGAAATAGTTATATTAATTCATACAAACTGTGCCAAAAATCAGACATCGTCCCTATGCCCCACCCCCCCCCCAGTTTAATTGTCAATAATAGAGAAGCAACAGTCAGTTGACACTGGGTCAATTTCTCATGAATGAAGTACTTTGTTTCACTTCCAAAAAAAACACCATGAGCTGAACTTGCAGTCTGATGGTAGTGTGGGTCTGATATGACTGATATATAGTCTACCTACTAAATAAGGGTGTTTGTGTGGGAATGGGATCAAAGAATTCTCCATCTACCTTACAGAACTTCTCTGGCTATTATTCTGAATTATCTGCATAAATTATGACTTTCTAAGGCCCAGGTTGCACCAGAGCTTTTTTTTTTGTTTATTTTTGTGATAAGTCTGTGAACAAGTAGCGTAAAAAATAAGTGTCCAGATGAAATTTAATATACACCATGGTCTACTAGTGTAGTTTGGTGTGCAAGGCCAAATTTTTTTCCTGGTCCATCTGACCTTCAGTTTTCATTTGAAGGAAACAAGGAGTCTGAGTGACATTTTTATCATTCAAATGTCTGACTGGTACCCTGAGCCTGGTCACTGGTGGCAATTTGGAGAACAATTGGCTTCAACAAGTACTTCTCCTTTCATTAGAATATTCGAAGCCAGTACGAGTGGTGCAAGCTGCAACCAAAAAGATTGGCAGGAAAAAAAGAAAGTAAAGTATGATACATGGTCCCAATCTTGAACCATGACTCTGCCAGACGCAGAGACCTCAACCAAAGATGGTTTTGTAAACAAGCTCTATTCAAGCAAAGTCTTTGTCTTCTACATAAAAGCTGGTACTAGCTGCATAGAAGCCTACTGATAATATATCAACTATATAAAAATTCTATGCAAAATTCCACAAAAACCCAAAAGCTACGAAGATAATCATTCATCGATGATCCATTCTTGCTCAGTAATTCAAGCAAGAATTTTTTCTTTATCTTTTCATAGAGGGAGATGCATTTAGCATTGAAGTATGTGTCAATCAATAAAGTTTTCATCAGAGGATTCTAGTTTGATACAACCGCTGCCAAATTGGAAATTGCAAAATTTCTGCCAATTTTTGGCTCACAAAAAATTGGCAAATATTTGAATTCACTCTTGAGCAACCTGGCCCTAGGCTACTTTCATTCAGATCTAGAGAATATATTACCCTGTAAATTAAAATTTACTTCCTTACTTCTGCCCTGAAGACAGAACAATATCTAAATGTTAAGCTGCAATGCATCATGCAAAAAGCTTTGCAATCTCACCACTTAGCAGCTGATTAGAAATTACTTTGAAGAGCAAATATAAAAATTTTCCACTTACCACAGAGCTATTCACACTCATTCCTCTAGCATCTACAAAAGAAAACATAAGGTTGACAACAAGTACTGCAAATTATGATTTCCAGATTGTATATTTAACCCTTGAACCCCTAAGAGTGACCAGCATTTAATTTCTCCTTACCATATCCTCACTGAATCAAACATTAAGGTCATGAGAATAAAGGAAATGATCACCAACTAAAGAAGCTTATGCTTGTTAGACAAATTCTCCTTGCCAGCATATTAGGAAAAGTTTAGAGAACAGTGTGAAGAATATGCACACTGATGTTCGGGTGTAAGGGTTTAATGGCAACAACAAATGCAAAGATAGATGGTTCAGTTGTTAAAACAAATGGGATTTAACTTGTATATACTAGCTAGCATTCTATATAATTGGGTTCATAATGGTAAATAATAAACGAAATGCTTTAGAGAAATTGGGAACAAATCAATAAAATTTTTTTAGGCAAGTAGCACAAAAAAAAAAATTTAGATTTTCAATAGAGTTTAATTTTCATTAAATTCTGGGGGACTTGATACAATGCTTTGGAAACCATTTTGTCCCAAATCCCTAAAATTACTAAAATTTCCCATTTACAGCTACAAGAACAGAAAAAAAAAACATTTCCTCTAAAAAACAATTTTTTAAAGTTAAAATTAAAGCTAAATGATGAACTCATGTTAATAACTTTACTTGTTTACCATTACAGCCCAACTGTTTCTTTAGAAACAAACAGTATACTCTGGTATGCATGTATCGAGGTACTCTCTTTCACCTGCATGGAAACACTATTTATGGCACTTTGTAATTAAGGCTTGTGATGGACAGTTTGTTGGTACTAGTATTTTTAACACCACTAGAAATTATGGCTAGCCTTTTGTGGATTGATAAACGTTTAGTCCGATTCCACCACCCCTGTAGTCCAAATCATTTTTTTAAGACATCACACACACCTAATAAATTCACTACATATCTTTTTTTAGGAATCAGGAAAGAAAAAAAAATTTACACGCTTTACTCTTACCTAATTCACTAGTCCTTGGTGAAAATAATTTCTCACGCAACCATTACGTAATTCTAACATTCTCCACCAAATAAATATCATCGTCACACACAAAAAATACAAAAGAAGGTGAAAAATTCACAAATTCCCGTTCAAAAGGACCGTTTCATCATCCCGGTTTATTTGTTTACTGCACAGCTGTGTCGCTCAAAGTGCACACATCCAAATAATTAATGAAATTTTTCTTTCGATTCTCGTTCATTCAAGTTATGCGTGGTTAGAATGCTAAAAGTTTATGCTAGTGAAACTCTCAAGAATCTATTAAAGGGCTAAAATAGAATACACAATGTTTAATTTATTAACGGTTTATGTCACAGTAATAAGTTGAACCATGCTATCAATCAAAACATCATGTTAGTCATTAGTTCGACTAATCTTTAGTACCACACGTCATTCAGCCGACTTCTGTGATCAAGCATCACTGCATTTTTTATTCAAATCCATTGGTGTTCGCTCAGTTGAGGTATAACAATACAAATCAGCCAGACTATCACAAAAAAAGTCTCTTCAAATCAGCACAGGAAACCCGCAGCATTTTAACTTTTCATTCGCGCAAAAAGTTACTGTAATCTGTATGTAAAACAATCAGCGGCACGCTCTGTTCGCAAATGAAAAACAACGTCTGGTAAACATTTCAGTAATGTGATTCACCGGAAATTGTTTTAATCTAAAAAATCTTAAAATATGCTTCAGTTCTGTTACTTACTGAAGTAACATTACACCGCGAAAAGTCGATGTCTTAGGGATATATGAAAAATCCTTTCCCTTTCAAATCTGCTTCCATCTGAAGAGCTACACCAACATGTTACCAATTTGTGCGTTAAGAATCAGAAACTGACGGATGAGAGTACTATTTAACCTGAAGAGTAACGAATTCAAGACTTCTCGCAACGTTTACTCACCAGAAATCCTCATTTTGCCATTCCATTTGCCGGATAACAGAGCTGTTAACCGCATTCTCCGTGGGTAAGTTTCTGGGAACAAAATAAAAATCTGTACAACAAAAACCAAGCTACAAATAAACAAAAATGCGGCAAATCGAAATCTTGTACACCTCATTTTCTAACACACTTAGATGAACGATCAACCAGACAAGCGAGTACATTTGTTAAATGGACATCATTAACTGTCACATCTGCACAGTCTGTCTCTTACCAGCAACCAATCATGTTACCGCCCGGCTGTCGCCAAATTACACAGCGTGACAGAGCCTGTCTCAGGTTTTACATACATATTGAAACGTGTATTTAGACAAACACTTATAAAGTCCGTTTCATTAAAGTTTTAATGACTTTAACCCGCACAACAGCATCATTTCTCTTCCCTTTTTTCGTCTGTGTTTGTCAAGCGAGCGAAAGCAAAAAAAATTTTTCGCACCTTTCAAGCGATTGCTCATGCATCGACCTCTTGCCTCTGCTAGCCAGGAAAACGCCAAAAAATTTAAATGTGAAGGCCAGAACAACTTGCGCATTAATAACAAACTTAACTTTCCGCTCTACCACAACGTCATTCGCACATAAATTTTTTTTCTCAAAAATCATAAATAAAAGTTGAATTATAAGCCTCTTCCTTCATCTGTCGGTTTAAGACTCAGTAAGCTCGTTAGACCCCTCCTTGAAGAAGGGGGTACTTCCTAACAGACTAATGGGGATGTGCCGCTGGATGGAGTCGCGTTGACACGTAGGCCCTGTCTCCAGCATCTTTTCGGTACTAGTAACTAGAATGGGGTTGCAAATTTTTGGGGATTTTTGGGAAAGAAAATTCAAGTAAGTAGGGATTTTAAAATGGGAAGAAGTTGTTACTGCATGACCAAAAATGACTAAGATGAGGTCTGTAATTTCTCACAGAATAGATTATAATGGAGTATGGGTTCTGAGAGACCAGCGGCACATACCCAGCAAAAATTGACTTAAGTAATCCACCTCCCCGGCCACCTATTGAGTGTGATGAAGTACTCTTGTATACGTTAAAAAATAATTTATTGAAATATATCGCACGAGACCACTTTTCTTTTATTGATAGCTTTCCCAGACTAGGTACCCTATGGCTTATGATTGACTGGGATCCTGCGATGCCATTTAGTCCAACAGGAAACAAATATTTATGCGTATAGAGTTTTAATGCTCAAGTACTTCAAATTTAATTGGGCATTTCATATGAAAACATTTCGTAATCTAGAGCGTATTTTTTCCTAACTTCTCTTTTCACATCTAAGGGTACATGTGAGTATTTCTCGGGTTTGACATATCCTTGCCCCCCTGCCCGGTAAAAATTTTGTCGTCTGGGGAAAGAGACTTGTTCATTAACATTAAGCTGTTTTAAAACTTGAGTAGAATCTGATTCCAGATTCTCCATGGATCCTATGAAGTCATAAGAAACAACGCATGGCTGACATAACTTGTAAAATGGCATCCAGTGTTCGTTCATGTCCTCCGCATGACTGTCCAAGACATGTTGTAGAAATTCTCTTATTTTAACATCATCTCCTGTAGAATTTGCTTGAGCATTTTTTCGCATGTGTCGTATTATCTGTGTCCCATACCTTTTGTGGAAAACATTATTGTTTAAGACAAACTTGTCTTTGTATGCTGATAGAAGTCTTCCGAAAGGTTCTCGCACAAACATGAACTTATAGTACTCCCGAAGTTTCTGTTTAGCAACCGATGGCGGAAAATCTTTCAGCCTTGTGAAAGAACTGTGTTGTACTTTCTTTACTGCACTGATGTTGGTTGCTCTACCATCAAGCACCATCAATACTCTCTTCCAGTTTGAGCAGGCAGCTTTCGGTATGGAACAATATAAAAATCTATGCTTGTCATCTACTAAAGTGTGTCTTCCAAGGATATATTTTTCTTTAGCGGAGAGAGAATCCCACGACTTTGTTGTATTACCGCATACTCGTCTCACTGATTGCAGTCTTTGTTCACTGGTAGCCTGTTAACAAAAGATGACAAAAAGATTAACCAGAAGTTAAACTGAAGTTAAAATGAACCAACAGGATGGGACATGAACGAGTCTCTCTTCAACCTCGTTCCCAGGGTCCTCTCTTTTTCTGCCCCGTCCATCAAAATAAGAGGAATATTTAACTAAGTAAAAATTATCCAACAATCCCAGGGATGTGAGCCTCCTGACGGTTGTTTTGTCTTAAGCAAAACAGAAACAGGCGGCTGACTGTTCCATTCCGAGATGTTATGAAGAAAACACTTTACATAGCTGATCTACATTGTGTCCTGCGAAATAGCTCTAGCTGTAATAACTAAATTTCTCAGTCTAGAAGAAATGTTCACTTACTACAGAATTAATTACATTTGTTCCTCTGATGTCTGCAAGAGAAAAAAAAAAGGTTGATAAGCAATGTGTAGAAATCTTGCAAAGGTTTCGTACCACAAAACCGGAAAAAGTGCAAAATGAATTTCATTCCTTAATTGCCGACAAATTACATCCAGGTTATTTGTGTGTTGATGATAAACGTAATCGTAAGATTATCCATGAAAGCAACCGTTTATCTAAAAAATTGAGAATCCAAACTTTCCACAACGTTCGCTCACCAGAAACAGTCATGACGTTTTTCCATTTATGTCGCATCACAGTTGTAAGATGCAACTTCCATCCGTAACTTTCCAAGTACAAAATAACAACCTGTAACACCAAAATCGGCAAAAGTATCAACAAAATTGCGGCAAATCTAACAACTAGACGCGCCATTTTCCTGTTACGATCGTCAAAAAACCTTTTTGGATCGTAAACTGACAGGTTGTGAAAGTTTTCTATAAGAATTTTTAGCCCGTGCTGAATTGAAACAGACGCACTGAAAGGATCCGAAGAAGACGCGGATATTGGATGGGGAAAAGTAGAATATCTAATAAGTTGTCATCCTTAAGATTCTTAAAATTTCTTTTGTTTTCCCATGAGGCTTAAGACAGCTTTGTTATCCTCAAACATAATAGCACCACAACGTTGAAAAGAGATGTCCGATTGCATAAAACTGAGCTTTTATCATTCCTGTCAAAAAAAGATCAAAACTTGTAAAGTATTTCTGATATATCCTTTTGAAGGGAATAACGAACATATATAATTTATGATACCATCGGTGAATTTTGGGAGAGAACAAAGTTGTTGTGAGTCGTTAAGTCCCCAGAGGGATTGACAAAGAAATGAAGCTGAAAAATTGAGTTTAAAAGTCCTAGTTACGTATCATGCAGTATCGATCCGCTTAAAGCCCTGCTCATGGATATAAAGTTCGTTCCCTATTTTTACACCGTGTTCCGTTTCATCCTGTCTTCTCCTGAAAATATGAATGTCTTACAAATGTGGGGCGTCGTTTATCCTTTGTACAAAATCTTTGTTTGGTTCGTCATTATTCAAAACGATAATTATTTTTAGACGCTGAATGGATCATGTGAATTGGTCGCCGAAGAGAGGTCTTAAAGCGTCAGCCTTTCGCCAGAGCGAATAGAAGAGCCAAAGGTCTAAACGTCAGCTTCAGAACCTCTCGACTGCGGCCAATTCACATGATCAACTCAGTTCAAAAACTTGATTATCGTTTTGAATAATGACGAACTAAACTTCATAGAATTCATTATCTTGTAAAAAACCCCACCGACGCAACACTAAAGTTTCTTTAAAAATTTTGCTCCCTTAATTATTTGAAAAGTTCATTCCATGATTATTTTTATTTTGCGCGCATCATATTATTTCATGAAATGAATTTTTCGCCATTCGGTAAAATGTAGTTATTTATAACATCAAGTTTCAAACAGTATACGAAGAAGTGCATGCTTAATTGAACTTAACGACTTTTTTCCACATAATTCAAGTAAGCGGTGAAGCGGTTGGATTGCATTTCCTTCAAACCAGAAGCCGCCCAGAGCATGAACTTTTCAAATCGATCGATAGCATATTTCAGAAAATATTTCAAAAATTCGTTAGCGATTTCCATGGAATTTCAAAGAAACACAAATTAAAATTCTATGGGTACTGGTTGCCAGAAAGTATACTGATGATAGAAATAAAAAAAAATAAACATTTATAAAAAGATTGTCGTGTTCAAGTCTTATGACTCGCTCGAGGATCTTAAATTGTCACATGACTAAACAGTTATAAGCCGAAATAGTTATAGAGTAGCTAGAGATCAGTCATGGCGGCTACATTCTGGTTTTTGCTCATATGTTTCCTGTTCTTTGGATCAGTTTCGTCTTCAGACTATGAGGTAAAGTAAAGAAGTTGATATGTATTGAACTGGAAGCAAACAGATCGAAGCGGAATGGCTATTTGTTTTGTTTTGTGTGTTCCAGACAATGCAATAAGTGCATATTTTGAAACGCGCGTTTTCTCGCAGTCTAGAGGCAATTCGACTATTTTGATATCTGAAAGATTTTAAAAGACTTGAACCTGTGATGAAATGAACCGTTGAGAATTTTTGAAAATGGAAAGTAACATTAATTTAAGATATTGTTTGTTCAAACCATTGACCCCAGAGCAGGAAAGAGATATGTCGTTAGCTCGGACATTATTGGCAAAGTGCCATGACTCCATAAGAAGCAGTTGAAAATACGAAGTATTTTTAACGACTTTTGGAGTTCTAGTGAATATTTCCTCAGTCAAAACATAACAGGCAAATCAACTGATTGAACGTTTCTTCCGATTGAATGACAGATTTTTATGCAACTCACAGTTTGTTACACAATAATCGGATTAAAAGGAGTTCCGCTGTAGTTTAATGCCTTGAATTTGCTTTAATCCTTGTGTGATTCTAGTTCTCGGATCAACATTGTGTTACTGGAGCCTATCCTCCGTCTGAAAGGTATGGTTTAACCTATTGTCTTTCGCTCTGACGAAGGGCTAACGCTTGAAACTTCAGCTTTAAAACTCTTTATGGTGGCCAATTTACATTATCAACTCAGTTGATAATACCAAATTACCTTGTTATACCCTCCCACCGATGCAGCAACACAATTTCTTTAGAAACTTACCCCTTTATTCAATGCCGGATGACTTTCGACTCTCAGTTGAAAATTGCTCTTTAATAATAGTTACTAAAGAGAAGTTTACATTTTTTCTTAGTGAGGTTCCTTGGGAAGTTGTGAATCTTGATTTACCACCTGAGCAAAGATACAATGACTTGGTGGGCAAGAAGATAAAAGAGGTAGGAGATATGGAAAGTAATTGCGCAACATGGACTGTAGAGTGTTGCTAGGTACAATAGCAGCAAAGTCTGCGAGCGGTTTCCGTCATGGATGTGGAGAAATCGAGAAAAAATATAAGAGGAAAACCTCAAAAGATTGCGATGTTGTTTTCTGAATCCGCTCCTATAGTTCCGTTAAAGGTATCAGATCTTTCGCTGGTTCTTTTCACCAGCCAGCCCTCGGCGTCGCCCTCAACGCCACTATAAGCTCACAGTTTAAATAAAGCTAGGAGTCAGTCTTTAAAAATTAACGGTGGAGTCTACAAAGTTTTATGTGATAAAATATATTGTACATACAATTTGATTGGGTTCTTACTTACGATCCATTGGGGGACGGATAGATAGATGACGTCACCATCGTTCTATCGTTTAAAACTGTGACATATAGATTCCATGTTGAGGCGCGTCTTTTTATCCTTAATTTGTCAAAGATGCACTGTTTTGGTCAAAAATAGAGTAGAGAGCGATTCTCATTATCTTGACCTTGTTAAGTTTCGTTTCATTTCTCTTTTTCTCTTTCATTGTTTTTGCTATTTGTATTTCATTTGCTTGGCTTTGTTTTATCTCGCTGTTTATTTTTTTTACCTTACCATATTTATCAAGATCCAGGACTTGACAAACTACTTAAGAAACTTTACAAGTTTTATCTTGGATGGAAAACTGTATCGATTTCTCGACAAAGATTTGGTATGTATATTTGCACTTACTTTAAGACATTGATAAAATTCGTCTTACTTAGATGTCTAATTAAGATAAACATTAATCGACATGTTTTAAATTGACCCATTGGGTGAAATTCAAAAATAATTTCTTTTTTTAAACACTTTTTCCATTTGTCTAAATTTATTTCTATCGAGCGATGGAAATGGTGGAAATTTCTTCTCGTGAAGACAAATTTAAGGATTCGTGAAAAAATAAACATGATGTTAAAGATGTTTATGTTCAGATATGACGTTTAATTCGCGTTTTAATTTGATTTGACAGGCTTACTTGGTTTACACCCTCCCATCTCCTTACCAAGAGGAAATCATTGGGTTGTCTAAGGCTACTGACATTCCTCTTGGTATGGCAGGATCGTAACCTTTTCCAAATTGATTCATTTATTTAGGTCTTTTTGGGAGTTTTGACACGAAAATTGCGCTGGACTTCAGATTAATTGGTCCGGATTCGAGCCTCTCTGTGTAGATTTTAAATGATTTTATATTAATTTTATTAATATGTTATAAATGGAGGAATTGCGCTGGACTGCAAATCAATTGGTCCGGGTTCGAATACGACTGCCAAGAGTTTTGATGGAATTTCGCGCGTACTTTCACTGAAATGAGTGTAAAAATCAAAGAGACCCAGAGATGGACTTTCTTGATCCACCAGGATATTCGAGGATCAATAACGGGTAACAACTTTCACGCGAATATATAACACGTGTTTAATTTTGATGCAAACGCCATCAGTTTTTCATATCACCATGCTTACATAAATATCAATACTGGCAGGGCAAAACAAAAAAATGAAACAAATTCCTAAATTAATTTAGAATGAAGTATATTAGGATGCATTCTTCGATGCCAATTAACAAAGTAAGGAAGCTAGAATTACCCAAGCCGTTTGTATTAATATTTTTGTACAAACTCAACTGATTTGTTTGAGTATAGGCAATCATAGCCATATAAGTTATTGCGAACATTCAGTGAATTCGCTAATGTCCTCTAATATTTCAGGTGAGATTTTATTCTTCAACATCTTTTATGAGATTGTCGCATTTTGCACATCTATTGTTGCTGAGGACGAATCAGGTAAGGAAATCTGAGATATAAAGTGTCTCAGCGTCCAACTGCCTTAAAGAAAGGCGTGGAGCTCAACTGAAAACTCTTACTGAACAACAGTCTGGTTCAGACCGATTTATATGTAAACATGTCTTAAAAAAGAGCCATGCTCTAGATACGTATTTCTCGTGTGAGAGTATTGTGGTGTCCGGCATAACGTTTAATTCATTTGATAAATTTTTAGAAATGTCCTTGTAATGGGAGATTTAGCAGCGAAATGCTTAGCACAAACTGCATAGGGGACGGAGGCGCGGGCGGCTACCAACATTAGACTGACACCCCATTAGTATATAAACCGGGAAAGGATAAAGTCTGGCAGTTTTTTGTGAGTCAGTCTTCTTTGCAGACTTTCCTTACACCGTTGTGATTACTTTTCAGGTAAACTGTTCCACGCACGTAATATGGACTTTGGCCTGTTTATGGGGTGAGTTTCATTGAAACGTACACTACTTTAGAGTTTCTTAGAATTCCTCATTAATTTTGTTCGATTTGATTGGAATTGAAGCGAAACGTTTATTGATTACAGCTGGGATGAGAAGAATAACACGTGGATGCTGAGCGAGATCCTTAGAACACTAGCAATTAATATTGACTTTCGGGTAAGTATGACATCATAATTTTTGAGAATCTCCCAGATGGGCAGTAATTTTTGAGTTTTTTTTTTTTTTGTGAAAAAAAATTAAGCTTCAGAGAGCGTAGAGTTTTCATGTTCGTTTTTAAGAAGATTAAGTGTAATTATGTGACTAACCGTGTGATTGAGATTCCAAGAAGTACACTCGTCTTTGAGGACTGTCTCCAAATGTGCTAAAATAATTTATAACGGACGACGCCATTTTGAAACGTGCTCAGCAACCTGGTGACTCACTTGTGACATAACAAAGTTGCACTCCTTTTTCTCGAATCTCTTAGCGATCTCTTTTAATCACTAAGAGCTACATAAATGGATATTCTTGTCTTTTGATTTTTCAGAGGAATGGCCAAACAGTGTACAAATCAGCTACCTATGCTGGATTTGTGGGTGCTTTTACAGGAATAAAACCAGTAAGCTATTTGATTTGTACCAATTGATAATGACACAACAACAGGTTTTTGCTTTGCAATAAATGGGACACAATGAACTGCTCTTACTAGAAAATGTTTTTAAACTAATCCTGATCTCATTACTTGTTCGCCTGTATGGTTCGTGAAAATTTGGTTCTTCTCTAAACTGCTTTTTTTGTAGAGTTTAAAATTGATTCAAACGTAAGTTATTATTTACAGACTCTTCATGGAGCAGATTTCAAGTCAGTCATCTTTTTCATCATCATTTCGCTCTTATTGATTTCGTAGGGAGTGCTGACATTAACTGTGAATCAAAGATTCGCTACTGATGGTGGTTACGTAGGTGAGAAGATAAATTCAGCTACAACTGAACTCCTACAACAAATAAATTCAATTACCAAAGTGGCTCGACGATCAAAAATATTAAAAAGCCATCTTGTTAGTTGCATGCTTTATACTCGCCACCTTTGTTGCTAGACCACTTTGTCTTACTGGACAGTCCGTATAATCACCCTTACTCAGACCAACCTCTACACGACGCTAACTGCCTCAACAAAGCTTCCTAAACTGTTGAAAGAACCCCTCTACAATGACTGTGCCTCGAGGTAATGTAATACTCGTCCAAGCCATGAGCTTGACCGTTCTATCACGCAGAAAGCTACTGCTGCCGAAAAAACACAGTATCCATGTTTCACCCTTGCATCCCCACCATAAAAGTCACGTTTTCATACTGCAAACACGTTCATATTTTTCAGGAATTATTGAGTGGATTCTCGGTAATAGAAAAATGAAGTGGTCAACTTTTCTCGCTCGAGACGTTTTGGAAACTGCAACCAGGTAAAATCACAGTATTTTTTTTCTTGCCAAAGTAAGCAGAGCTGAGATCCTGCTGTTTAATGTTGAAAATTTATGTAGATTTTCCTTATGGCGTTTTTCAGTTTCGAGCAGGCTAAGGACATGTTGGCAAACAACAACTTGACAGCTCCTGTATATTACATTCTGGGTGGAGCAAAATCAGGAGAGGTAGCATTCTTTATTCTTAATAAATACCAGAGAATATTAATCTACTTGAGTTAATTTAAGTATTATACCTGAGCATTACTTTTGACTTGACTTATTCAAATTATTTTTGTCATCGTTTCTATAGCAGAATACTTGAGTCTGACCGGCAGATGGTCACGGTGTTGGGGTCTAGCTATATGCCTCGGGAATGACGGGTGACAAAAAAAACCCGCTAACATTTGCCTCACCCCTAACATGAGGCTTCGTAGCTCAGTTGGTAGAAGTGCTTCCCCGATATCTAATTGTCTCTCTCACGTTTCTTTAACAATGACAGAGTTCTTAATCTAAATATTCTGCGGGTCACAATTACTTTTCATGATGTCTATAGGCAAGAGAAAACATGCGATTATTTTCTCTTGCTATTGGCTGGAAAGAGTTGTTACAGAGAGTTTTGGCCATAAATTAAACTGCTCGGTGATGAAGTATATTTTGATGACAAACTTGTTACAAATATTCTTTTTCAGGGAGTTGTCATTACGCGTTCTCTGACTAAGTGCTTAGATCAAATGAGGTATTGCTTGGTTACTTGTCAAAGTTCTCTTTTTTTCTTTGGTTTAAACTAGACTTTTGTGAGTCTTACGGAATTGCATGGCATGTTCAAATAACTACATTTAGTATGTTATTGATTTTTGTCTGTATGTTTTCAGCCTAAATCCTGCAAACAATACTTGGTTTGTTCTGCAAACAAATTATGACAACTGGGAACCTCCTCTGGTAATTGATGACAGGAGAACTCCGGTAAATTTATTTATTTTATTTAAGAGTATAGATTTTAGGGTTGCTTGGTATTTTTTTGTATAGTGCAGGCTTACGAATGGGGAAGGGGGAGGCTCAAGTGTTATAGTTCTTGGGTTAAAAAGCCTTCTATTACCATCTCCTCGTGCACAAGAAAACTACACATTAGTTCATTCAATAATCGCAATAGCCGAAGTTTCAAGATTAACAGGCGTGTCCAAGTTTCTGTTTAACAACAAACCTTTCTATTTGTTCATGTTGTTGTTGTTTTTATTCTGTTTCCAGGGCAAGGCATGCATGAATAAAATGGGACGTGAGGTTTGTTTTCTTATGCGTTTAACCGACACAGTTCCTTTGTAAATTAAGCAATCTTATTAATTCTTTTTTTTTCACTTTTTTTTTTACTTTTGTATTATCAGGCCGTGTCATTCAAAGGCATCTACAATGTCCTCTCCACAAAACCTGTATTGAATAAGGTGAGGAATGAAAACAATTATTTTCAACAAAATGGACATATGCGATATCAATCGTGATATACTAACTTTGTTTCAGACACTGGCATCATCTAATTTTGGACACTAGTGTCTATCTTTTGACAGTAGTATCCGATTTTAGACATAAGTGTCCCTCTTTAGACATCAGTGTCCGATCCCAGACTCTAACGTCCGATTTTAGACTCAAGGCACACTAGTGTCCGATATTGGGACCATGTAAATTATTGTCCGATACTGGACACTAGTGTTCGATTTTAGACGCTAGTGTCACGTTGATTACGCGACCTGACCCAGGTCTCTCTCGCTATTTCACTCGTGTGCCACTATCGGGCCGTTTACTGTCATACCTCGTTTTACTAAGTACTTCTTGCTGAAGGCCTGGAAGAGACTAGATTTTTCCATGTACACGCTCCTAACAAATGATGTTTAACTTTCTTTTTATCAAAATATTATTATTTCGCTCACAGTTGACCGTTTACACAACGTTGATGCAAGTGAACAGTGGCAAAGTGGAGACATTCATTAGAAGCTGTCCCGACCAGTGCTTTCCATGGTAGATTGGAAGATTGCATACCATATCTTGCCGAAGAATCGGAATGAAGTTGTGATTTCAGAGTAATGAGTCATTAAACAGAAATGTTTTGAAAATCTGTCTGCAATAAATGTACTGAGTGAAGTTGAGAAAAGCAACTTTGATAATGTCGTGTGGTTTGAATTTCTACTTCTTTGATTGAGTTAGTTTCCTATCTGAATGAACCATTAGCTAAGAACACCCAATAAATTGCCTTTGTTTTATTTTTCAAATAAAAGGACAAGTTAAACTGATTCGATTTTGCATACAAAAGTTGCAGTTGAGATTGGAAAAGCTGACGTTTAAACGTCCTGTCATTTCAGCTGAAACTCCGTGCTTCACGTGCTTCACGTTTGCCAAGCAGAACGACCAGCCACCTTATATTTTATTCGGGTCTTGTAATTGTTGTAGCCATAAATTTAAAATTAATTTTTAAAACTAAAATTTTCAAACAGAACGCTCTTGTAAAGGTGCCATAACGCATCGATTCGCGACAGGAGATTAAACTTATGATCTCTTGTTCGCGATCAGTAATTTATAACGCGCGACAAGAGACCACATCCTCTTGCACGCGAGCATTCCACGCGCGCACAACCTCTTCTCGATCTGAATCTTCTTTGAGACCTTGAAAAAATTTCGAAAGTGGTCAGAAAGCGGTAAAATTGAGGAGTTCGGGGCAATGCATATGAAGTGTACGACGGTAAATATTTGAATCATTTACAATGGCGTTTGCGCCATCTCGGGCAAATCCTTCCCTTAAAAAATTCCCGCCCCCATTACACCCTCCTCCCCGCCTTATTGTAACTTCCGGTGAGTGGACGTTTAATATAAGGAAGTTTTGTTGTGTCTAAGGGGCAAAACTTGTGTCCTTGGTTCAAGTGGTAAATTTTCAGCAACGAGCTGTCGCTATTTCCTATTAGGTGATAAGAATCACCTGAACCAAAATGTTCAACAATATTGGGTAAAAAAAGGAAAAAGAACTCAAGAAAAAAAACGAGTTCTTAATCTAATTACGTACCCCTCCCTACCAAGTCCATTTGTAGCCAAGTCATATGACTCACTTGTGGTTCTCCTGTGCTGGATATTTCTATTTATGAAATTTATTGTCACAGTTATTCAGCACAGGACTAAGGCAGACATGGAAGCCTCAGTTTGGGTTGCGTTCGCATGTTTGCTTTCGTTTGGATCAGTTTCGTCTGCAACGGTAAGGAAAAACAACAAGAGAGAAGTCAGACGTGTAAATCGAGTGAGGCCAGGTATGTTACGATAATAATTTAGATTTCCGAGCTTTCGCCGATCTACGGAAAACTAAATTATCGTAGCATACCTGGCCTCACTTGGTTTACACGTCTGACTTTTTAACACTATGCTACTCAAGGACAACATCCAACGCTAAACAAAAGAGAAGTTTTTATCATGTATCTTGTAACTGGATCAGATATTTTTGAACATAGCATTAATTTCATTGTACTCTCGTGAAGTCTTATAATTAGTTTGATTTACTAGGTTGTTTGGAACGCAATTCAAAACTTTTTCCTTCACTTTCGAAGCTTCGATAACTATGTCGAAATTGTCACTCATCTGTTAGGAGTTATCTGAAATTTAAACAGTACTAGTGGAGGCTAACCCTAACCCTGAGATTGTGAAAGAGAGTGCATCATCGAGAAATTGTACAAACGTGGACTTTAAATTGTACAAATTTGAGTTCAAAGGTTGAACCCGTAGCAAAGTTTCCGCACAGCCCCATACTATTGTAAAACAAATCTGTTTTCCCAACGGAAATGTATTGTTTTTGTCATTGTTTTCTCTGTTCAAGAACTGAATGCATAATGTAGGATGGGGCTGTGCGGAAATTTTACTATACTTATTCACGAATCAAACTTTTTTTCAGGTTAAAAGACATACAGTTTTCGAGCATCTCTCAAAGGTAGGTGGGAACTTTTTCAGATTGTGCAATGTTATGCTTTTTGTTGACGCTTAATGCAAAATCTAAGCTACCAAGCTCGTTCAAACTTTGTAGCAACACCCTACTTTTTGCTAATGCTTTTTGTCGAAGCAACCCAGTTTCGTCTCACTTGTAGTTCTCTTGGGTGGACATTACGGTTCTCACGTAGTTAACTTGTCAAAGTAGAAGTAGAAGTTGTGGTAGACGCAAACCATATGGTGCAAGGCTTAGGCCTTGGTTTCAAGCTTTAGCAAGGGTTATTAAGTTTATGGTTAAGACACTTCATTCTGATGCTACCTCTCTTCACCAAGCTTGCAGGATTGTGAAATAAATGTGCAATCAGTGATGTGTCTGACCAAAGTTCAGACAACTGGCTGTAATGGACTGATATTCTTTTCAGGAGGAGTAATAGTACTCCTGGTTGGTTCATAATATAGAAAGGGGGATAAGCTTTGTTAGACTGTTTTCATTGCGGACTTGACCTCAACATGTATTTCTAGACTTTGTTTGATGCTTGTTGTTTTCAGTTTTCAGACCAAGACTGTGTAACTGATGCTTACCCCCCAAGTGAAAGGTGTGGTTTACCTTTCTTCCTGATGAAAATTATCATGGCTGTTAATCAATGAAGGAATGGGACACCCATTAATTAAATTTTTTTGTGGTACATAGCTGAGCTCTCTTGGGCAGGGCTGAAACTTTATATCAAGGAAATATTAAGAGTAAAATAGTTCAAAGCATCAATTGCTATCTTGTTTTCGTGAAAAAAGGAATGTGTTTGCTCTTTGCACTGGCTTGCCCTCTGTTTGCGGAGACAGCAAATTGCTGTAGTTGCTGATTCATTTTCATTCTTTCAGGGAGGTCCCTTGGGAAGTTGTAAATCTTGACCTTCCACCAGAACAAAGATACAATGATCTTGTCAGCAAGAGGATAGATGAGGTAAGAGGCTGAAGGAAACATTCAAGGAAGATATTTTAGTAATTTGAAACTAACTGCTTTGTCCTTTTTTATTTCACTCTATTTTATAGCTTAAAAACTTGCTCCATTATATCAAGAATTTCACAAGTTTTATCCTGGATGGAAAGCTGTTTGGATATATTGACACATACTTGGTATGTCAGTTAGTACTACAAAATGCTAACATTAACCCTGAAACTCCCAAGAATGATTAGCATCTAGTTTCTCCCTACAATATCATCCCTGAATCATGTCGTAAGGTCACAAGAATTAAAAAAAAAAAATGATCACTAAATAAAAGCTATTTTGATTGTTACACAAATTCTCCTTTAAGCATCTTAACAAATGTACAGATAACAGTATGGAGAATATGCATGCTGATGTTTGGGTGTAAAGGATCAATGTTATGTGTATATGCCTCACCATTTCAGTTGTTTGACATGTTTAGGAGTACAAAGTTAAAGTATTTGCATAGATATTTTTCTTTAAGGAAAAATATCAGTGAAAAAGTTATATGTGATGTTACAATGTTACAATGTTGCCAAGTCATAATTTTACAGTTTAAGTTTCCCAATGCAGTGACATTTGCGGCCAATGCTTTATACTTACATGCACAAGATTTGCTTTATTACAAGAGAATTCTTGTTAAGCAACCAACTTTGGTTAAAATTTCTTGTTAATCATGACATTACTTCAAGTATTAATTGTGGAACCCCTTTATTGTGATCACTATTGTAGGGTCCTCTTGCAGAAACTCTTCCAGATCCCTATGGAAAAGAGATTAAAGGATTAGCCACTGCCACCAACATTTCTCTTGGTAAGAAATTAACTTGCAGCATGTGAAGTGGTTAACAGTGGAACCATGTATGCTGACCACTATTCTGTTGATACAAGTAACTCATCATTGTCACCTTTTCTTTGTGTTCCATCTCTCCATTGATACAGTGTAGGATTTTACAAGTGGGTACTATGCTGTGAGAGGAACATGTTTAATGTTTAGTTGTAATCATTATAAAGCATTTAAATGTAGTTCTTACTGTCAGTTATATTTAACATAGCACCAAACTTCGCAACCAAATCATCCATTTTTTTAAGTTTCATGTCACACTTTTGTATGTCATCTATGAGTGTAAAGTATTATTTTTTTAAATACTTACTTGGAGCTTTTTGGTTGGTTTTTAGGTGAGATTGTTTTGTACAATATCTTCTATGAAGTTTTTACAGTTTGTACATCTATAGTTGCTGAGGACAAGTCAGGTTAGGAAATCTTGACACGGCATGGGAATTAATTTGAAAATTTTTTATTTTTGTTGGGAGAAGGTAAACCCAGACTCTGTTATGGGTAAAAACTTTGGATTAAGGTCTTGTTGTGAGTGTGGAAGAACAGGAGGTCGCTGAAATTTCTGATAAGTATTAGGTTGCTAGGGAATGAGGGGTGAGAAGGGAACAAGGGGAGACTGGAAAAAATGCAAGGGTGGGAGGGGTTAGAAGGGAAGAAGGAGGGACTGGAACAAATGCAAGGGAGGAGGGGTGAGAAGGGAACACAGGGAGACTGGAACAAATGCAAGGGAGGGAGGGGTGAGAAGGGAACAAGGGGAGACTGGAATGAATGAAAGTGAGGGAGGGGTGAGAAGAGAACAAAGGGAGACTGGAATGAATGAAAGTGAGGAAGAGGGAGGAGAAATAGATTAAGGGAAGGGAGGGGAGAGGTGGGAGGATGGATCTAGGGAAGGGGAGAAGGGAATGAGTTTGGAGGGAAGTCTCTTAAACCAAATGTTGTAGAGGAGTATGCAGCCTCTGGTAGTCTGAAACTTTTGCAGAGCTGGAAACAATCACTAAATAACTTTTCATTTATATGAAAATCCAAGATGTGTTAGGAAAGGGATGTGTCCTGGTAGCCTTAATTAGACACAAAGAGTGATGTGCTGATAGTGCACAAAACTCAAATATTTGTCAATACCTTTGTTACAACTTTTCAGGAAATCTTTTCCATGCACGTAATCTGGATTTTGGCCTATTTCTGGGGTAAGCATTCTTGTAAATGACAGCTAGAACTTTATGGGAATCAGTCATTGCCTAGAGTCTTTTTAATTCGTTTTGTTTTTAATGTCGATATGTTTATGATGTAAGCTATGTATTGTTTAATTGCAGTTGGGATGTGAAGAATGACACCTGGATGCTGACTGAGATTCTTAGGACCCTTATTGTGAATATTGATTATCAGGTAATATAATCACAGATTGTAGTTATTGTAGTCAGGAGTGATCTGTAAACATCTCTGCTTCCACGAGTGCAATGTGAACTGCTAGACAGCATTGGAAATTATAACTAGTAATATATATTATTATTTTGTATATGGTCAGGCTTAAATTTATTCATCTTTTGAACTCCTATGAATTACTTTCTTTTAATGTGGTGTTATGGGGTAATGGATGTGTTTGCAAAAGGATTATTAACTGGAGTGATTATATGGGACTACTATCCTCCACGGCTAGATGTTGTAACTCCCTTAACTGACCAAGACAATTTCTTCTTACAAAATCAATAATAACTAATAATAATAAAAATAATAATAACAATTTATTGACTTCTAAGGTGCAAATTCTAGGTATATAATTATATTAAAAAAAAATCAATATGATATTATGCAAATTATTAATTATCCAATACCAAGTTCTCCAAACGAACATCATAAAAATTGTATGGCAGACATAAATATGTCTTATAAATTATCTTATTTGTCAAACTGAGGGTGTGTTTGTGCATTTTTGGATAGGATTGTTCTCTTTTTGTGATTAAAATTTGACTCCTAATTTAATTTGCTTGCAAATTATTTCAGAGAAATGGAAAAACTGTGTACAAGACAGTCAGCTTTGCTGGATATGTTGGTGTCCTTTCAGGAGTAAAACCAGTAAGCTGTCGATCTTTCATAACTAGTTGTTGTACTAAACTACATTGTCAGAAGAGGAGCTTAACCATGTTTGTTTCTTATAGCAAATGACAATAATATATACTCAATATAATTACCAATGTATTCAGGGGAAGATTAATGCGGAGGAACGGTTGAACGAATGAAGGGAAAACTTTAACAAATCTGCTTTTTGCAGCTAGACTTTTAACATGGCTCCCCTCCTCTCCTTAGTGGGTTTCTTGACCCCCAGACACCCCTCCCAAGTGAATAATCAAGACTGCTCCCATCCTATACAAAATTCTGAGAACTGGTAGACCTCCAAAACTAGATCTCCAGCAGAAAAATGCTCTCCTAACTCTCCAAACTAACAGCAAAGTATGCTGTTAACCCCTGTAGAACCTTTTTGGCAGTTTCAAGACCATTGGATGGCCCTCTAATTCCTGGTTATAATTGTTTTCAGACCAAAAAGATCCAAGAAAACTGGTCCTCCCAAATAAGAAGTTTTCCAAATGCTCACTCTTTAGCAATTGTGTTCTGTTTACTCACCAATCAATTGCTGCAGCTTGCCTGTGGTTTTAGTGAAGGTCGAAAATCGGTTTGGTTCTATTGTGTTTCCACCTGGATACCAAAGACTATGTCTCCAACAATATTTTTGTCAGTCAATAGATTTTTAATCTTTTTGCCATTGCCAATGTAAACCGAGGGTACAAAAACAAAATGATTTTTATACCAAGGCCTGTTTATTTTTTTTAGGGAATCTTGACACTTACTTTGAATGAAAGATTCAACATTGATGGAGGTTACATTGGTGAGACAATAAAATGGATTAATAGAATTGTTTACTTTAGTTGTCATTTTAATGACTGTGAGGCCTTATCTAAGTCAGATGATGACTGAATATATATCTATTATATAAAGGTCAATTTAAGAAATAAAAAATAAGTTTGAAAAATTCATAAGGTATACTCAAAGGTTATCTGCAACAGCTCATGAAACACTTTGTGATATTCAGGGATTGTGGAGTGGATACTTGGCATGAGGAACAGCAAGTGGTCAAGTTTTTTGACTCGTGACGTGCTTGAAAGTGCAACTAGGTAACAATGTCTTGTAAAACGTATGTCTGCTAACAATAAGGCTTCGTGCTCTGATTTATATGGTACTGAATTTTGTTACTTGATGTCAAACAGATTATTCATTTTGTGATATACTCTAGTTTTGAGGAAGCAAAGGACATGTTGGCAAATGACAAAGTATTAGCTCCAGTTTATTACATTCTTGGGGGAACAAAATCAGGAGAGGTAACATTATATCTTTGGCTGTCATAAATCTTAGTACATATCAAGAGTTTCAACAAAAGCCAATTAGCAGTGGTCTATTGCTGCCTGTTATATCTCTCTCCACTGCCTGTTTAGCTTGGGAGCAGGCTCTTGTGCTTGAGTTCTGCCTTATAGCCCCTTTCCTAGCTACAGCCACTTACTGAAAAAGTCATTAAAACCAGTTGGTATATGTCTAAATAAATGAAACTGAGTCAGAGCTTTGTTACAATGTAGCATCAGGCTTCTGAACCAAGTGAGTCTCTTTCCCTGTTAGTAGTTACAATTAAGTTGTCATACAGTGGTTCTGATTGCAGTGATTCATGATTAAGGTGACTTATAATTATTATTACTCAACAATTTCCACATGAAAAAAGGAGAGCAAGGTTTGTGAATGAACAATTAACTACTTTGGTTCGACTGAGTTGGCAATTTGCAAAACTGGGTAATAGATCTTTACTACCTACCTGACTTGAAGTGTTAAGGGCTGACTTGGTGAAGGATAAATTTTGTCTGAATAAGATGGAAAAACTGTACAAAAGTTTTGTTGTTCTATACTACCAGTGCTATTTTTTGAATGAAGTCTAGTAAGTTATATCAAGTGTAAGGACCAAATGAATAGAATTTGGTCATTCTGTGGGCTATCCTGTTGTTATATGTATGTGGTGTACTGATTAGTAAATCTGTGCACTCTTTTTTGTTTTTAGGGAGTTGTCATCACGCGCTCGCGAACTGAATGCTTAAATCAAATGAGGTAGATTACATGCATGCAATGCAATTCAGTGGTTACAATAATTTTGCAAGTTGAAGTGATATTTTAATATTTTCAATGCAAAACCTTTAAATATGTTTGTCTTTTCAGTCTTAATCCTGCAAACAACACTTGGTTTGTTCTGGAGACAAATTATGACAACTGGAAACCACCTCTATTGATTGATGACAGGAGAACTCCGGTAGGTCAATCTTGATTGCAGTGAAAGGAAAAAGGGTCACTGATCCCAATGAAGTATTCAGTTATCTATGAATTGAGGAAACTACTTCAGTCTATATATATAACTCTTGCAGGCTACATTCAAGTGTGCAGTTTTCAGAAATGCTTTGTAAAGTCACTGATCTTTGGTAGTGATTATTATACCTACAGCTTAATAACATATTCTTTGCTAACTTGAAAATGTGTTCTTTTTTTTTTTTTTTTTTTCCCCAGGGAAGAATATGCATGAACAAAATGGGACAAGAGGTTTGTTTTGAAATAAACTTTGTGAGCACCTCTTTATGTTATAAAGATGAAATCAGCAACAAGGTCAAATATTTCCACTTTATTCTACAGGCTGTGTCGTTTAAAGGCTTGTACAATGTTCTCTCCACCCAACCGGTCTTGAACAAGGTAAGCACATG